CTTTACACATGTATGTGTTTATGCATATATATATATATATATATATATATATATATATATATATATATATCCAGCATCACATTGCGTTAAACAAAAAGAGAAGGTTGCGCCAAGTAGAGAATGCTACAATTGAACAGCTTGCTGCCATGGGCTTCCCAAGAGAAACAGGTTTTTTTAATCTAGCACTATATCAATGCTAACTTTATCTGTAAGTAGTAAAGTAATTGACCTTAATAGGAGTAAAACATGGAACATTTCCCTAAATAGCAGTCCACCTCTAATCTTCCCTAAAATGGGAATAAACATTTTCTACCCTAATATTCCTAATCTAATTTATTAATTCGAAGTAAAATTAATTGCCCCCTCTAGTTCCCTTGGGAAACCGGGTCAGTCCGTTGGTGGTGGGGCAAATCTGGAATTCTTCGGAGCTCCGGCGGTGGAAGACAGCGGTGGCAGAACTGTAGCAATGGGCAGTGGCAAGGCTAATACCTGCAGGGGTATTCTTGTCTAAACACAAAAGAAACTCCTGTTTTAGGAATTTTAAACTACTCCTAGTTTTGCCTTTTCATCATGTTTTACTCCTATATTGGGAATTATCCAAGTAATATGGATATGGTTCTCAATAGATAAAATAATGGAATGGAACTAAACCTGGTAGGAATATGAAGCTATAATAGTTTGTGGAAAACAAATTTACTATAAAACAAATTTAGTTTGTGGAAAAGGTGGTGCTTTATTTATTTACCTATTTATTATAACACAACAAGTGTAATTCAGTGACCGCAGCTGTCCGCAAATTTGGGACAAGAGAAGCAGCATTAAATCATCTACTTGGGCCATCATCGATGAACAGTGCTTCAACAGTTGGCAATGAAGGTGCTTCATTTCTGTCAGGTCAAGGTGAGAATTTGAACAGGGACGGTGGGGGTAATCTTGGGGATGCTGGTGCACATGCATCAGGTAGCAATGCAGTTGTAGGTGAGAATGCTTTTGGAGGTCCAAGCGATATTGAAGGAGTATATGAGAAACGTGATGTGGAAATGGAGAATGAGCTAACTGATGAACTGTTAAATGGAGATGCCTACTCTGACTACGACCTTGAGCTTACGAAAGAAGGGGAAGCAATCACCCAGTATCTGACTTCGCTCAGATCTTCAACCTGAATGCATCCACCTGTCCATATATTTCATAATTTTACTCATCAGTCATGCAAAGTGTCACAATAGGCAGGGGCAGAGTCAAGGGGTCAAGATGGTTAGCTGACCCCTCTCAAAGTTTGATATATTTCGCCTTCCGTAACTCATTATGAAGTGTCGTATGACATTCCTAACCACAGCGGTGGATACCAGTGTCGCTCAGCCCACAATTTGTTTTGTACTCTTTTGGGCAATTGCTTTGAGGTGTGATTTGGAACAGGTCTTTGAGGTGAAAAAATTGGGGAGGGTTCTGACGGACCATGCAAAATGGTTCGTGATTGTAAATGGTTCATGATAGTTATGGACTAAAAATGTTTGTTTATTCCAAAATAGGACTATCATGTTTTTATTCCCTAAATAAGAGTAATTATTATTAGGGCTGAGGGAAAATACTGAAATTTCGGTATACCGCATTTACCATATCAAAAAATACTGGATTTATTAAAGATTTAGGTGTACCGACATTTTCAATATGGTGTAGTATCGTACCAAATTTCTTTGGTATGGTATTTGTGTATAGTTTGAAAATAAAAGGTATATCTGTATAATGTGATACCGGAAGTCCTATTCATATATTTTTTAAAATTATAAAAAAATACCAAATACACTTCATAAGTTCATATTAGGGATAAATGATTTTGTATCCATGTTGTTTGAATAATTTTTTTGTTAGAGATCATTATTGATTTGATTATGGGTATGTTTGGCAAATGACTGTTAGCTGTTGTTGTTAGCTGGTTGTGTCAGCTGTTTCCTAACAGCTGGTTGTGTTAACTGTTTTGACCGGCTGGTTATGTTAGCTGATTATAGATAATTGTTTGGTAAAATTGGTTGTTTTGAAATGGCTGATAGAGTGTAATTGAACCAGCCGAATGAATAAGCTGCCCCCCTTAGCTTCTTCAACAATCCATTTTTTCAGCTTTTCAAACTCAACAAGCTAATTTTAAAAGCTATTTACCAAACATCATTATTAGCTTCTTTGACCAATCAAACAACTGAAATGGGTCAAACAAGCTAAAAGCCGGCTGATAAGCCATTTGCCAAACATACCCTATACATGTATCGTTTAAGTTAATTATTTTAGGAGAATGTGTTGCGTAGTATTGTTAAATGTCTCATGTTGAATTGCTATTGTTTAATGTCTCATGTTGAATTGCTTGAATATACTAATAATAATTATTGTTTAATATTGAATATGACATCAATAAGTTATTGTTTATATTTTGTAACATTTTAATAATGGTTTAAATATGTTGTTAGCAACACCGATTTTGTATATTTCGTAAGTAACGATAATTTGTTGTGTTGAGAGACATGCATGGTAATTTATCGATATCATACTGTTACCGAATGAAACTTCGGTATATCGAAATGTGGTATATTGAAATTTCGGTAAGGTAAGACAATATAAATTCTTTATACCGAAAGTTTTGGTACGGCAAAGGTGTGAGAAAATATTCGTTATACCGTATTGAAGCACTTCTAATTATTATCAGGTTTTGACAGTATCAGACTTCAAACATGACAATATTGTGACGATAATTACTCCTATTTAGAGAATAAAAATAGTAGTTTGGACTTTGGAGTATTTTAAGTTTTATTTATGACAGTGTTTTATTTTGGAATAAATAAAACAATTACAAAAACGTTGGAAACTTAAAAATCAAAAATTAATTAAGAGACGTAACAACATAAATTTAGAAAGATTAAATGTTCCAATTTAAAAGTATAAAAATGTAGAGTTTTCCATATTTTGAAAGTATTTATAAAAAACAGATGTTGGAGGTATCCTTTTTCTTATAACACCCTTTTGTAAAAATAAATTTATAGGGTAATTATTAACAATATATTTTTTAAGTAAAAATAATGTTATTATTTTGATTATAGAAATTAGTGTGAGTAATATATAGGGTTTTTTACGAGAATATTACTAAAATAAAACTTATTTACATAAATATGACTATTCATTACTACAAGTCTACAACGTAGTACTGTGGTAACTAAAGTTCAAAACTTGAACATGAATTACTATGATTTCATTACTACTCTAGTAATGAATCATATTTTTGTAAACCATCTTTATTTTGGTCATATTTATGTAATTATTTCTAATATATACATTCTTTATTTTTCGGAAAAAATTTAACTTCTTGATTTCTACTTATATTTATCCATTTAGTCATAGTCCTTATAGTGCATATGATGAAATGGATGAAGCAAAAGAATTTAGATCAAATAAGAAAGAAGTCTAAATGTGTAAAATGGGAATAATTTTCGTGCTCTGAATATCATATCCGATGGCTCTAAGAGTGTCACCAATGTAGAAGATTAACTTTACAACATGGCGACACTTTCGTACATAAGTGGTCATTTTTGTCACCCTGAAAAAGTGTAGTAATGAACCTCAAGTATAGTGAAGTAAAAGTGAAATGTTGACGTTTTTCACGTTAAGTGTCTTTTTATTTGAACTGCACCCTATTATAAAGTAAATATTTTAACCTCTTGATGAGACATATTTATAAGAGTATTTTTCAAAATTATTACTAACGATCTATTTAATGCTGGAATAAAGACCTGCTATTAATGTGGGTATCTCTGTTTCCCGAGTGGGGTCTGCAGCTCAAATTAAAGCCATGAAAAAGGTAGCTGGTACGCCGCGGCTAGGGTTGCAAAAATAAGAGCTTGAATACCACTTGTAAATAATCCAAGAAGCATGACGGGTATAGGAATTGCTATGTGCTATTCATGGTGCTACCGTAGAAAATACTTTATTTGAAGACAACCATGGTGCAAATACATCTCTTAGTAGAGTAGGAAAGGAAGAGGTTTTGGTCTTGTGTTGTAAAAGAATTGAACAATGAAAATAGATGACTAGTGTCTGATCGATTTGATCAGGCACAATGTAAAGGAACAACGATTGAGCTTATCCTCTCTTCCTTCTTCTTTATCTTTGTTAATATTCCAAACGGATGAGGACTCTTCTAACAAAACAACCAAAAAATTGGTAATTGTCCGTCAGATCACTAAGGCCGATTTTCGCCCCTGCTCGACGGGTGGGTCTTGCAGTCAAGCTTCCTTCTGCCTTACCTAGTTGAGCCGGATGAAAGGAAACATTCACGTCCGATTTTGAAGGGGGAATTCCTATCAAATCCTATCCCAATATAATAAGCATATCGACGATTGCTAGCTCCTATTATTCGAATACACATCAATTTTCAAGCCCCGCTACTATCCGCTACATTTAAAAGGGTTTGGGATTGAAAGATAAACTGGTGGCTCTTTCTATTGTGCAAGCAAGATTAGTCGGTTTAGCCCACTTTTATGTAGGTTATACATTCTCGCAAGGCCATATATATTCTTTGTGCTGATCAATAATGATTACAATATCGGGTAAGCCTGTCATATATCGAATTCCACCCAGATATGTTTCGAAACGCGCTAATTGTTTGTTTCATTTGATATTATTGATTATTAATCTTATAGATTCACGCAAATTGAGGCAAGGATAGACAATACTCCCCCTCCCTCCCCCCCCCCCCCCCCCCGAACATAGCTTACAACTTTCATCGTATTGTGCTCTCCAAAAAGCAACTCTTCTCATAAAACATGTTTACAAAAATATGACTAATAGTTACTATAATGTAATGTCATAGTAACTTAAGTTTAAAAAATAAACATAAGTTACTATGATTCCATTACTACTATAGTCATTAGTCACAATTTTGTAAACAATGTTTATTTTAGTCATAAACATGTAATTATTTCTATTTATACATTTGTAAAGAGAAAATTGTCAAATATGTCATCCGACTATAGCAAAAACGTCAATTAGGTCCTTGTACTTTACAATCAATCAATTGAATCCTTAAAGTTTTAATAAATACCCAATTGAGCTACTTAGAGCATCTCCAATGCTACAATGTGCACGGTGCACATGTGGCATGAGAGAGATAGACACAAAAAATTGAATTTATGACATTTCTCTCTCATTATTTACACGATTTTATTTGTTTTTTGGTAAGTTTTCTTTTTCAATGTCAAGCACAATGTCTACATCTAGACATTGTGCTTGACATTGTGAAGAAATACTTACCAAAATGATACAAGATCCTTCAAATAAGGAGAAGGATATTCTATTTACTATTTTTTAATTGGATATCTTTCATGCCACGTATACACCGTTCATGTTTTAGCATTGGAGATGCTCTTAGGCAGTAAACAGTCGGTTTTCCAGTTGAACATTGACCTGAACTTTCCCTTAAAAAAGGGAAAGTTCCTGAAATGGGACCAAAAACGTTTGTAAATTCCAAAATAGGACTGTCATGTTTTTATTCCCAAAATAGGATTAATTACTGTCAAATTTGGAAAATACTGCGATGTTTAAAGTCTTGTACTACCAAAACATGACAGTAATTAGTCCCATTTTGAGAATTAAAAACATGGCAGTCCCATTTTGGAATTTACAAACATTTTTAGTTGATAAATTATCTTTTTTTTTAATGTTTTCAATTTTTTTCTATTGTCCTCTTTCCTTTTCACTTTTTTTCCTTTCTATTGTTGGCCTGTTCGGTTGTTCACCTTCTACCCAGCGACCAGTCCTCTTCTGCACTCAGCGACTTCTTCTCCCTGGAGATGTGGGGACGTATTTGATTCTCCTCTCAAGTGTGGATGAATCTGTCAAGTCAAGAAAAACGTACATAGCTACAAACCGAACTGGCTGGAAAAGACGAGCAAGCTTCTTCACAGCCGCTTGCCGTCCTCGATCTCCCCCACCCTCCCTGTTCCCGTATCCCTTCTGGAACGAGAATCTTCTTCGCCCTTTTCATCAACCCTCGGAGGAATCTTCACAGATCTACCGGAGGATAGTTTCCATTTAAATCTTCTTCCATATAACTCATTGACGTTTTTAACTTCGTGGCAACTCCCTCAAGGTCCAAACCAAATGAATCTTTGTAGAAAATCGTAGGGATTCAGGGGTGAGAATTCCGGCACCGAACCAATTTGTTTAAAATGGAACAGGTTTGATTGGAGAACGGGTACGGAGGCGGGGAATACCCGATTTTTTTAAATAGATAATGGTGCGGTTATGGTTCTACACTAATCCGCTCCGTTATCCGCCCTGAAACCGCCCCGTTCACTAATGGTGTAGGTACCCGCATGGCCGCACCCGCACCGTTATCCATCCGTAACATTATTAACAAATTAAGTCTTTATCTTTATATATAAGAATGATAAGTATATATATGCTAAATTGTGTACACTAAATCGTATATATCATATAATTATATAATATCATATAATTATATAATAAAGAATAATACACCCGAGGTTCACTTCAAAAACCTAACATCCCTAAGTCAAAGTTAATTTGAGGTGTAATGAATTTAGGCCTAAATTGTTTTTTTGCGGAAGGATTACTATTTTTTTTTACCTAAAACTAAATTTTGGCCTAAACCTGTTTTTTGAATTTAGATTTTGGGATGATTAATACTTTTTTTATTACGTAGTATGTTACAAGACATATAGGGTGCTTGTCAATTTAGGACTAAAACTGTTTGATTGCTTGAATATTTATTTTTGTATGTTTTATGGTGTTTTGAACATATAATTTACGACAAAAGATGTTTACATTAACAACTTGTTAATAACAAGTAAGATTAGAAATTGGTTATTTAGTATCATTTGGGTAAACAATTACCCGTAGATAAACCGATTCCCCGTTGGGGCGGGTACGGTTCAAATAAAAATTACCCGAAAGGGTGATGGGGCGGTTTCGATTTTATGTGTACCCGTCCCCGATACGCCCTCTTGTCATTCCTAATTCAGGCATGCTTCTCCTTCGCCCATCATCGAGCAACAACGGCTGGGCTAGAGGCATCATCTCTCTTTCTTCTTGCTCAAACTCCTCCTTACTGCTACAGGTCATCTTCTTCGCAGACGCTGAAATGGTGAGCTCCACAAATGAGAAAATGGTGGAGACGAACAAAGAGACGGAAGGAGAAAGCTGCATGGAAGAGAAAAGAAAAAAGAAAAGGTAAAAACAACATAGAATGTAAGAAATTAGAAAACAATAAAAAAAACATAGGCAATCCACATCAGCATTCAACCGGAAAACCGATTGTTTACAACCTAAATAACTCAATTGATTTTTATTACTACCTCTGTCCCATAATGGATGTCTTCTTTTAGTTTGGCACGGTTATTAATAAAGTGGTTGAAAAGTAAAAGTTGTGGTTGAGATTTTAGTAGAGTAAAGTAAAATGATATGGACCACATATTTCTTACCAAAAAGGGAAACATGACATTCATTTTGGGACAACTCAAAAAGGAAAGTAAGACAATCAAAATGGGACGGAGGGAGTAAAAGTTTAAGGATTCAATTGATTGATTTTGAGGTACGAGGACCTAATTGACGTTTTTGCAATAGTAGGAGGACCTATTTGATAGTTTTCCCTAAAAATAAATTATAAAGCATAATGAAAATGATAGTAAAAAGTAATGCATAGAACAGTCGTTTTAGTAGACATTATAATTATCACTAAATAATAGTCTGTATAAAATTATTGTGAGACATAGGGAGTATTATTTAGTACTTCATCCATTTAGACATCTCAGCTAAAGCTTCTAATTTCTATTTTAAAAAATAATTAGCACTATTAAATGACAACTTAACTATGAAATATTAAAAATAAAACACATATAACATCACGATTATCATCTATGACATCATTATATATTTTTATCGATCAAAACAACTTTTCAAAATATACTCGAATATCATTATCTAATTATTATCTAACAATTACCATTTTTTAATGAAAAACTTAAGCAGGTACGAAGGTAGTATATATCTAACAATCACCATATAAGTACTTCTCATACAATTTTCATCATGCTTTAATATTTATACAATAAGTACGTATATTCTCATTTTCAGAAATAAAATAGAGCTTATTGGATAACGCTGAAAATGGGTTGAATCTGTTGAAATTTGTGAAATACTTATCAAAGTGATTGAATTGGTTGAATTTTTTGAAGCATGGAGAAAAATTAAAATATACTTTATCAACAAAATAAAAAAAGGAATTATATAAAAATAGCTAAATGATCATCTTTCACAAATTTTTTCAAATCAATCACAACAGTGACTTCAACCTTATCTATTTTGATTATTAGATCAAAAGTTAAACATTTTATAAAAGATCTGCTGATAAAATCCATAAGCTGAAGAGAGAATTTACCAAACCGATGATTAACCTCATTCTCAATGTACTGGTCTATTCAATGAATTCACTTGTAAGATTATACGGAGTACCTGAGTACTCCGGTAATCTTGGTCATTGAGTCTTGACTCTTGACTCCTGAATACTCGAAATGTGTAGTTAAAGTTTAAATGTGTAATTTGATATTCCTAAAATAGTTCTCACTTTTTTGGGTCGTCCCAAAAAATAATTCTTATTTCCTTTTTCTTTTTGTAGCTCACGTTCGTTTACATTTTTCTTACTCATACACAATCATATATTTCCACTTTATTCTCACCTTCTTAAACTCTGATCCAAATTAATGCGGGAACTATTTTATGTGACAAAGGGAGTATTTCACATAATTTTTGAATCTTATTTTTTAATTAAAAAAGAAACATAATGGAACTCCCTTTCTCGAACAATTGGATATTATTTTCAACCCCTTTTCCTACCATTTCTGCACAGATTGCTCTCTAGGAAACTCTGCATTTCAATAGTCAATAAGAATGAATCTTTCTTTTCTTTATACTTAGATTGAGCTTCACTCCATATAAAAGAAAAAACAAGAAAAAGGCAAAAAAAAACTCTAGGCTCCATTTTTTTTCCTTGTACCTCAAATTGGATTTGTATAGAGCTGCAACAAATCCTGAAGGGAAGAGAGCACCTCAAGCAAAGAGAAAGAGAGAGGTAAAGTTAAGGAAGATGTTTCTTAGTATTGAGCTGCGGCATTCTTGTGCTCTGCAGTATATTCAAGATTCAAGGAAAAAGGCTTTTTAGTTATTTATTAAGGAGGGTGGTAGAAGGTTCTATCTTGTCATGTAAGTCATCTTTCTTTGTCATTCAAGAACTACTCTCGCTGTCTGCGTTTCAGTAATGCTTTGGATTTGGTACAGTGAGTTTCTTGTATTTCATCCATTTGTTCAATTACTTTGGTATTGAAGAGGATTAACATTGGATTCAGTTAATAAAATTTGTTTGAAAATTAAGCTCTCCTAAAAGTTTGAATCTTGGGGTTTAAGCATGGGAAAGCAAAGTGGAAAAAAGAAAAAACAGAGAGAGGGAGTTAAATCTGGAAGATTCGATGTGAAGAAAAACCAAGGTAATGTGAAGGGAAGAGCAGGGGTGTACGATGAAGATATGGTTGTGTTCATGTCAATGTCCCGGGAACTGAAGGAGGGGGGAAACAGGTTGTTTCAAAACAGGGATTACGAAGGGGCGATGTTTATGTATGGCAAAGCTATAAAGCTGCTTCCAGGGAACCACATAGACGTCTGCCATCTCCGTAGTAATATGGCAGCTTGTTATATGCAGATAGGGTTGAGTGAATATCCGCAGGCAATACACGAGTGCAATTTGGCTCTTGAAGTTTCCCCAAATTATATCAAGGCGCTTCTGAAGAGAGCCAGGTGTTATGAGGCATTGGATAAGCTTGACTTGGCATTGAGAGATATTAGAAGAGTACTGCAGGGGGAGCCGGATAACCTTATGGCCATGGAAATTGCGGAGAGGGTGAAAGCAACACTTGTGCAAAAAGGCATCAGGCCATATGACAATATTTCCATTTCAGAAGTACCCGAGTATGTTGAACCGCCTGTTGTCTCCACTTCTCTGAAAGCTTCTCCAAAAGAGAAGGCGTGGAAGAACAAAAGCTTCAAAGTAGAGATGAAGGAAGAAGAGGCCCAAGATAACAAGACTTTTGAGAAGGCAAAAGTTGAAAAAGGAGCTCTTGGGATTGACAAAATTATGAATCCCAAGGATAAGAGAGGTGAGGAAAAGAAGGTCAAACAGGTGGTTGTTCAGGTGAAAGGTAGTGGTGACAAGAACTTAGAAGATGAGCTCCATGTCCAGAAGGCCAAGATTAAAAATGTGGATAAAGCCAAGAACGAAGTACTGGATGGTGGAGGCAAGAGAGAACGAAAGAAACCGGAGGAAGAAAGAAGTGGAAATAAAGACAGGTACAGTGATGCTGGGGAGATAAAAACTGAAGATAAATCGGTTGTTGAGGAAATTAATAAGGACTTGGAAAATGAGACATCTAGACGAATGGTGAAATTGATATTTGGGGAGGACATAAGATGTGCCCATATTCCTATCAATTGTGGCATTATGGAACTGAGGGAGATCATACATGATCGGTTCCCAAGCTCCAAATCTTTTCTAATGAAATATAGGGACCAAGAGGGTGACTTGGTAACGATCACATCAAGTGAGGAGTTAAGGTGGGCAGAAGCATCATCATCTGTTCAACACAATTCTGTCAGGCTGTACATTGTGGATGTCACTCCAGATCAAGATCCTTTATTTGGGAAGGTTAGGGAAGATGATGAGCTGAAACATAAAGCAAAAAAAAATCATAGAATGGAAAACATAGATCAGCTCGGAAGAAGTATGGACTTGCACAATAGATTAATTTGTATTGACGACGGGATTGTTCATTTTGCTGAACTGTTCAAGAACTGTGTCGGATTCGAATTTGATACTTATCTGGAGCTACAAGGAGTTGAGATGAAGCACCTTTACTCAGAGGCTATGGAAAAGATAGTCACAAGTGAAGAAGCTCAAGACCTTTTCCTTACTGCTGGAGAAAAGTTCCAGGAGATGGCTGCCCTGGCTTTGTTCCACTGTGGGAATGTTCACATGTCCCGTGCAAGAAGAAGAGTTCACTTGTTAACTGAAGAAGACAAATCTGGAGGAGGAGCTGAATCTGCCTTCTTAAAGCTCAAGTCTGCCTATGTTTGGGCAGAGAAGGAATACTCAACTGCACGGAGGAGGTATGAAGACGCATTGAAGATCAAACCCAACTTTTATGAAGGTGTTTTTGCTCTGGGGATTCAACAGTTTGAAGTGGCAAAACACTCTTGGTATTATGCAATTAGTACCAATGCTGATTTGGAATCATGGCCTTCCATAGAAGCATTTCAACTTTATAACAGTGCTGAGGAAAATATGGAAAGAGGTATGCATATGTGGGAGGAAGATCAAAGTGACGTGTCTATATTAAGCAAAACGATTATTCTCTTGCGAAAAATGAAGTTGGACTGTTTGTTTAGAGAGATATCTGCAGAAGAAGCAGCTGATCAGGCTGCAAACATGAGGTCTCAAATTAATCTGTCGTGGGGTTCCATGCTGTATGAGAGATCCGTGATGGAATTCAAACTTAAGTTGCCTGCCTGGCAAGAGTCTTTAGTGCGTTCTGTCGAAAGACTTGAATTAGCTGGAGCTTCTCCAACAGATATCGATCTTATGATAAAGAGCCATTGCTCCAGCACCACTGCACCGGAAGGTAAAGAGAATCATGGGGTTGCTTAGTTCTGGTAGTGACTAGTAAATACTATTTCATGCATGACGGATATTTTTAATGCCTTAAATTTCAGGCATAGGGTTCAATATTGCTGAGATAGTAGAGGCATGGAATGAGATGCATGGAGCAAGAAGAAGAAGGCAGAGAGATGTTCCATCTTTTCGTTTAGAACCATTGCTGCGGAAAAGAGTTCCTAAACCCTCTCATGTCCCAAGTTAGCAACAAACAAGAGCAACCACTACCTATACCGTTGCTGCTTTGCTCCTGCCATCCACTTTTTTATGCTCCCTAGCTACTATACATGTAAGTCAACCCACATGCTTCAAATAATTTTTCTTATAAAGGAGATCGAGTGAAAGTCTTCTTTTTTGTTCTCTTTTTGTTTGTTTGTGAGGTTTATATGGTTTACTTGACTTGCAGTTTATATTTACGAAAACTCATTCAGCTATAACCTTAACATGGATTAAATTGACGTTTGGGGTTAAAACATTGCTCTGATCAAACTTTTTATGGCAACATAATAAAAGCCGTACTTCAATGTAGTGATGTACCAACAGGTAATCAATGTTGGAAGTCTTTAGCCTCCTGCATAAGTGCATAGTAGTGCAACTACATGCTTTCTCACATGAACAAAGGTGGTACTTAATTTTCTCCCTGCATATATTCACAACGTTTGGTGGTCAAGTTTTCGGTCCTCACTCATGATAATATTCACAATGGCAAGGTGTTTGTCCCACATTCTTTAGATATAAAATAATAATTCAACATATAATATCATGTGTTATTCCTTAAATACCTATTGGTTCAAAAACTTTCCATCATTTGCAATGGAGCCAAAGATTCATTATTTTTTGGCCTGAGATTATGATGGAATAAAGCAAAATGGCTCACTAAACTGTCTGCGCTTCTTTGTTATGAAGCAGCAGTCAGTCCATGCAATCTTACCCCTGTGCTGTATTACAGGGGTAAGATTGCGTACATCTGACCCCCCTTACCCCACCATAGGTGGGAGCCTTTGCGGCACTGGGGTAAATGAAAACGAAAACGACCTATTGGTTCAAAAACATGTTTGCAACTTGAGTAGTAAATACAAACACAATCTCCGAACATATGAAACACAAGTTTGCCAGTACTGCACAAGTCAAAAGCCCACTAATATATTATTATGGCTAAAGGGTCAAATAGGCCCTCGAACTAACTTAAAAAGTGCAAATCACCCCTTATATAGGAGGCTCTGTCCGGCCGTCGCCATTTGGGGCAGTTCCCGGTGGAATTTTTTGATGAAATGTTTTGAGCATCTTCTTCATTAAGTCTAGTTTACCCATACCAAATTTCAGATAAAAATTCAACCGGGAAGGCAGTCAAATGATATTCTGAAATGTACTGCATTGTTTAATTGCGCAGTTATCTTCAAAAATTCATTTGACTGCCTTCCCGATTGAACTTTTAGCTGAGATTTGGTACAAGTAAATTAGACTTAATGAAGAAGATGCTCAAAAAATTTCATAAAAAAATTCTACTGGGAACTGCCCCAAATGGCGACGTCCGGACAGAACCTCCTATATAAGGGGTGATTTGCGCTTTTTAAGTTAGTTCAAGGGTTTGTTTGACCCTTTAGCCTATTATTATTAATCACAGCTGGCAGAGTATTTTGACTTTATGTGCTTTTATTTTTCTGTAATATTTCCACAATACACGAAACTGGTCAATGAAGGTAGACAAAAAGTATTACAAGAACATGGTCTTAGAGCTCCGGACTAAACTTCATGAGGTTGGGAAGGGCGCTCAGCTGAAGCTTTTGAAGCTCATCTGCAGTTACACTATCATTGCAACAGTCTAAAGAAAGGGAGCGCAGGTTCTTTAAAGACTTGAGATGCTGCAGGCCATTGTTGGTAATCCGAGAATAAGAGACATTAAGAGACACCAACCCTGTTAGCCCTGCCATTTCTCAATGTGACACTTGTTAAGATCTCCTCAAACAATGCTATTGAGGGGGGAACGGATGGATGAATGCATGCATACCTGACAAGTGATGCAAGGTCATATTTGTCAAGCTGGGGTTCTGTGATAGGTTTAGTACCATCAAGAAAGAAAGATGTTTTATGTTCTTGACGCCATCATCTGTTAGCCCACCCCCACACACGTCCAGTGACTGGAGATTGTTGAAATCTGTTGAAGGAACCATAAAGAAAAATTCACAAATCAAATGGGCTGGACTGTCTGATGGACCCTTTTTGACATTCTCTGACAGGTCTATTTCTTCCGAAATTGATACAACCCCAATAATATTTTAACATACATGGCAAATATTTTGTCCCATAATCTGTTATATGAGCTCCAAAAAGGTCCAGGTGAGTTAATCCAGATAACCCTGCATCAGAATGAGCATTTCAAGTCCATATCTATAATACATACTATTTCATTCTCCTCAAACTGGATACAAAATATCACAGCTTACCTGTAAGTGTAGCAACACCTGAATCAGTAATATGCCGAATGTCCAGATTAATTGACCTTAAAGATCTTAACCCACTCAACTTTTCCAAACCATCATCTGTGACTAAGGTGAATGACAGGTTCAGATCCTCCAGATTGATCAAACCTAAAACATATTGGTCACTCAAAATTATATTATGAACTTCGACAAATCACTAGCTGCTTTCTTTTTCATTATCAACATGCTTAACCTGAGAGATGCTGAATCCCATTATTTCCAATTTTATCATGTGAAAGCTCCAAAATTTTCAAGTTCACAAGGCCTGAAAGACAAATTTTGACATGGTTGTTATCTTTATTATTATTAAAGAAGGTACCAGAGGTGCTCCCAGATGTGCTTTTCTCTCTATTACTCCGTATTACTACCTCCGCCCCCCTAACATTGATACAATAGGAGTTGATGTGATAGAACACCTCTCCAGAACACAGTAACAACACACTCCAACTCAATATGGTTTGTTTTATTGATAAAACTCAAAATCAAAATCTGGAAACAATGAAAGGTAAAGGAACGAAAATAGCAGAAAATAAAATTGAGATCTTTCGAGAGGATCTCGCTCTCCGAGTTCCGAACAATTCCCAGGTGCCATTCTCTTTCCGCTTCAGTTTTCTTTTATTTGTTTCCTCTCCACCTGCGGACTACTCCCATTCCTTTAATCCATTAATTTCCGCCTCTGCTTCCTTTCTCTGGTCATTTACCTTCTTGCCCCTCCTTTTATAAACTTTTGAGAAATCCCTATTGGGATTTATGTTGAATAAGGCAGTGCTCGTATCATGATGCGGTTATCAAGAAAAGTGAGTTTATGTGATTGATAAAGGGAAAATAAAGTAAGAATGTTTTTGCACTACACAAACATTACAAAATTTGGTATGTGATTGATAAAGGGAATTATTGTTGTTGTTTTCGGGAGGGGGGCTGTTAACATATTGCACAGCTATACCTGCTAAATTTGCTAGGCCATCATCCCCAATCCGACAACTATCCAAGTTCAGGCCCTCTATATTTGTTAATCCTGGAACATAGAAAAACCAAGATGGACATAAAATAAGATTAAAATTTTATGAGTGTGCAAACTGAGTAATAGTGATAGAATAATGGTAATTCCGACTTAGAACAATATAGAATCAGTAGGAAAAGATCAAGAAAGAGATCAAGAAAGCTTTATTGAAGTAATTGTGTATTTATGATAGGAACCCGGAATACAGTGCTCAAGGACCATTTGAGATGCCCAATCTCCAAGTCTAAACTCAACAGTAAATAACAGTCTACTCATCTCTATTATTCTTCTATTTATATCACTTATCCACGCAGGGATCTCATAGTTACTAACTCACTAGTTGGTTTAACTAACTAACTGCTCTTTTGTTCCTTCTGTGATAGACCTTTTTAAAGTATTGAATAGGCTGTTTATCCATATGTCTATCAAATAGAGATTAAAGATGCAATGAAATCACATAGAATATATTAACTACCTTATATATACATAGAATATTTTGGCTATTAAGAAACATGCTGGCAAAAACTGCAGACCAAATAGTTACTACTAACTAAAATCGTTTGAAATTGGGTTTCTTAGGGGGTGTTTGGAATTGATTCTGCTTCTTTTGTAAAAGCTGAATCAGAATCAGTTTTTCAGAAGCTGGTCACCCCAGCTTCTAAAAAGCTGCTTCTAATTGCAATTTGGAGCACCCAGAGGTACTTGTGCACTTTCACCCAAACACTCCATCATCTGCTCTCTGAAGGAGCAGAAGCAGTTTCCAGAAGTAGATCCAAACATCCCCTTATTAATGCAGTATTTGAAATATAATTACTTACTACTGCCTATTTATTGAAATTCTGATTCAGAAACATGCAATACAATGACCCAATGAATGGCTGGAAAGGAAGAGGAGATTGAGATAATTAACCTTGTAGATGGGCCAAACATTCATCAGTAATATTGTTGTGTCCTATGTTTAACACCTTCAATTTGATCAGCACTGCAGGTGGCCAAAATACCATAACTAAAAACTAAGATTAGGAGGGGATATGTCTAGGCTGCAGCAGATTCTATATCATCATTCAACGTACTTGAAAATTTCTCACAGCCGGCATCCTTCAGGTCTGTTCTACTTAAATTGAGATACTGCAGTGAACAAAGTACTGAGCACAAAATGATTCAGCAAACCAACAAAATATTAACCGCTCCTAAAGTAGTCGATCTAACAAAAGAAAATTTAGAAAGATGTGCATCCAAACTTAAAGCAAAGTGAAGGGAGAAGAGAAAGAAGTATGTTGCATGCACCTGAAAGATAATCCAAAGATGCAGCAGTAATGTGGCATCCCTCCATGTTTAACAAGCCAAGCTTTCTCAGACCTGTGGAAAAGCAATCGAACAGGCAAACTGCATTATTGAATGGTGGAAGAGTGAGTGATGAGAAAGAAAGCAGAATTGCTACACGGTGTATATATCAGTCCACCCATCATAAACACAAGCTATGCTAGGCAGAAGGAACTATCCAGCTAGCTGTTCTATGAATGCATGTCAGGAACAAGTGACACATGGAATTGCAGGATGATTTCATGTAAGAGGAACAGCATGCGCTTATGAAAATTAAGAAGTTTAGGCTCGATCATCATCAACTTTGTATTGTATACGTTTGCAGGCATATGTAAAAGTAGTATTTCCAATTCGATTAGATTCGCCTAGAAATAAAATTTATTGCTTTGTAACAGCCTGATGAAGTCAAAGCCATACACAGATCGCAGCAACAACAGGTGACGATACCTTTCAAATAGAACACCCCAGCATCTGTCAGATTAACATAGGAAGTCTGCAGTTCCTTCAAATTGACAAGCCCTGATTAAGCGAGGCATAATAAAAATCAGCAAGAACAAAAAAGTGCATCAACAGCAGGTATTTGACCATTCTTGTTGAAGACGATTATATACCCGCAAGAGATTTCATGTCTGAATCCACTATGCATTTACAACCTCTGATGTTGAGAGATTCAAGTGTGGCTAAAGCTGTCAAAGCAGCAGGCTGGGGTTAAATAAATAAACAACCAAATGGTCCATCAACAAAGAAAGAGCTAGGTACTCAATCCATAAACATTTCTCACATCTATTACACCGTGATGACAACAAATCAGATGAAGATGACTAAACATTCTAGCTTCTTAAAACACAAGACCAACACGCGATAACAGACCTTCAATATGAACGAGTCCTCCATGGACTCGAGGGCACCTCTCTAGTTCCAGCTTTACCAAATTGACTAAGCTGGTAAGAAACCGCATTTGCTCAGCAGTGACTGTCATGCTGTCTTTGATACCCAAATATGTCAACTTGTGGAAGCCTGATCAGGACCAGCATTATAATATATTAATACCAACTTCAGCAAGCAATGCATATGGCTAAATGCTAATCATTATCAACACATACATATGACTTGGGAATTCAGCAGTCATGTTTTGTTCAATCTTTATAAGGTTAAAATACACAAATTTAGAGTACACTATGATACACGTCGTTTTGGTCGTGTGTACCAGAGGCGCATAAAAGGAGCCTAGTTAATTAATTGTCCACATGCTGTCCTAATTATTTCCCTTTAGTTATTCAAGTTGTTTCCTTTTATTCTGCTTTCCTTATCATATTTGTTTCCATTTATTTAGCCTCAGGCTCTTATTAATGAGTCTGTAATAGTTTAGATCTGTTTCCTAATATTATTTAGGAACCTTATTTCTGCCTATATAAGGCTTATCAGCTTGAATAAAGTATTAAGCTTGGATTAATTAAATCTCATGGTTTACTGGTGGGGCCAGGGATCACCTTCCTTGCCCAGGGCAGGAAGTTAGTTTTTTTTTTCCAACATCATAGCTTTAGATCCCGTCTTTCATTATCAACGGCCTTGGAAGAGATCATGTACCAAGGCCCTTAACACACTATTACTATTGATTTATTGTCATTATTATAGGCATCAAAGTAAAAAAAAAACCACCAAAATGAAAACAATGATTATCATGGGACACGTGATTCTAGGTCAAATATTCAAATAAGGAAGCACAGAGTTTTAGGGATCGAGAGGAGCATATAGTGCGAAATGTGTGCATACCGCTTACTTGCTTCAGTCCATTTCCAGTAATTTGATCACAATGTCTAAAGGTTAAAGCTTGGAGGTTTGAACAATTCTTGAGGAGAAAGAATGAACCATCTGTGACCTCAGAGCTCAAAAAATCAAGAGAGAGTAAGGATGATCCTTGTGAAGCAATGACATCAATCCAACTGTCACTCACTCCTGGATACTCTCTAAGGACCATATCCTGCATGTCAAAAACACTCGCAATAAAAAGAAAATACCCCTCCCCATGTGTGTATGCTCGTTATTAAGGTTTATCATGATTGACTTGCTTATTGCGGCACTAGGGTAATGTGGTTGTTGTTGTATTTGGTCGGTGTTGGATGGCTTAACAAGACTTACTTGCAATGCACAGTGTCTAAAGGCTTCAATGGAGTTGTCTGAGAGACAGCACGAATAAATGAGATCATTGAATATCAATTGGCTGACATCTCTTGGCAAGATGGAAAAAGAATCGTATCTCCTAACATCCTGTTAAATGCGATAACACATCATTAAGGATTAAGGACCATATAGAAACATTAAAACAATAAGAGTGAAGTCCCAAAATAGGAGTAAAACTTACTCAAAGTGCAAATATGAATCAACGTTAAAAATTCCTCAAATAGGTGTAATTTATTATTGGACAAAAACACAATTGTGTAGGGTTCAAGCTTGGTCACCACCTCACCGGACTGTTGCCGCTGCCGGTCGCCGGAACCCGCTACCATTCGACACTCACTGGACTGACCTGGATATGATTGGGAACTGTAACCATGTTTTAGTCCTATTTAGGACAATTTCTTAAACAATAACTATAACCATGTTTGAGGGTAGAAATGTAATGTTTAGTCCTATTCAGGGAACATAAAACATGGACTCTTATTTAGGAATTTTGACCATGGTGTAGTTCTATTGAGGGTAATTTCTCAAACAATAACTTTTACCCATCAACCTGGCTATAGCCTTTAGCTAGATAGACTTGTCGAATTTTGTGAATGCATAGCTCCATAAGGGATGGAGAAGCGCTTCCTTCAGGACGACAGTCCACAACCAGTGGAAAGAAAGAGGATGTCAGCCACTTTGAACTCCGGCATTTGAAGTATCTGCCGGAGATGCCTCTCCTGTGTAGATGTTCATCAGCATTGTAGTACTCTCTCTTCCACGAACAAACACCACCCATCAAGGAAACAACTCACTTCCCACTCACTTATAGCTTTCCTGTAAAAACAATACTAATAAGTGAGAATTCCTTAAAAAGTTCTGTTGGGTGTGTTTCGGAAAATAAAGAAAATTAATTAATTAAAAGAAATTAATTAAATAAAATGACAAAAGAAAACAGAAATGAGATGGAGCAGAAATTTGTCAAAGCTCGTGCTACGCACGATGTCCTTAAAACGTATTTGTTGCCTCCCACGGTGCTAGGAGCGTTGCAACAATAGTTTCCCAGGATACGATGACAACGAACTAATGTTTGAGCACACAAACAAGAGTTCCAACGAACGAGAACAAAGACTGAACACAGAAGGAATTTTCAGAGTGCTAGCAGTGTGTTTTTAGAGCTAAAACGTGTATGGAGTGCAAGAATGCGTGTAAGAACGTGTCTTGTTGCAAACCACCTGCCAGCCTTTATATAGGAGGATTTGTTGTATGAAAATAGTAAATTAATGGACCTGAACGTTGGACATCAATGACCAGTCCGTTGGGCATTGAATCGTCCATGAACTGTCCATTTAACGCTGCATTAAAAGATATAAACGTTGGGCATTTATTGCTGTAACGGTTCAGAAGTGCCACCAGAATACCAACGCGAGGTATTCTGATCGAGGCCATCAGAATACCAACGCGAGGTATTCTGATCGAGGCCATCAGAGACCGAAACCAGAATACCAACGCGAGGTATTCTGATCGAGGCCATCAGAGACCGAAGCAGTTCTGATGCGCGGTCATCAGAACCGGAGCATCTCTGGTCGTGGCCTTCTGCCCGGAGCAATTCTGCTAACTGGGAAAAAAAAATACATTTCGGGAAGAAAACAAAAATTACCCGTATCTCTTGAGAGATGGATTTTTGGACGACATTCGTGTCCGCAGGTCGCCCGCGCACGCAAGTCGCGGTTTTTCTTCTCCGAATTCGGGATTTGATTTGCACCCCCCCCCCCCCCCTGCGCGCGTGGAGAGAGCCTCTACCCTAAGGAATCTTAACTCCTTAAGGGGGGAGTCCCTTTATAAAGGGTTGCAAATCCCTTGGGTTTTCCGGTGTGGGAAATTAACACTAGAAACCCATCCTTTTTCCCAGTTTTTCCATTCTAACGGGTAAACTTCGAAAAGCGATTTCTCATTCACCCGTTATCCGTTTTGAGCGTACCATATATCGAATTGTAGCCCTTAACAAGGACAATCCGAAACCACTTTGACCCGACCCAAATCGGAAGTGGACCCCACTCAAAAAATTGCCCCAAATTAGCCATTTAATGCAATTTTTCACACATTTTTCCAACAATCCCCCACATGAATGAAAATTGATTTTCGAGACTTAAAAAGACACGAAGATAGGAGGACACGTTGTGTTCACCGGATGATCCTTGTATACGGAGAGGTAGGTTTAATCCTTTGAACCTTCCGCCGTAAAGACACGTTTATTTACTGGCTGTCTAGTAGACTCGATGTCTTTGAACTATACCGCCGTCGTGTAAACATTGACTTATCTTTACACAAGAACCTTCCAACTTTGTTCCGTTCTCATGGGTGTGCCCGTTTTGGCCATGGGTCACCGTCCTGGTTCTGCAAGAGTTTCTAAAGAACTGAGCCTTTACAGTTCTCCTTTGAAGCGGCCCTCTTCTCTCTCACATAGGTGATTCTTTCACGAGTATCCCGCATACTCTTCCAATGTTATCGAGTAGATCAACATTTTAGAATCATTAAAGCAAACATTTTTGCTAACCTCGTGCGGGAGTCACTGTTTCAACGAGGAGTGGGTAGGAGTCCGGGACCCCCACAGTGACCATCCTTCGCTCTATAATTTAGTTGTCCCATTTGAACCTAGGACCAACTAGGTTGGGTATCCACTATAGAACTTTTCAATTCACGGGCTTTAATCCCATTCCTCGTGTCAACTTCTCCAACAATTCTCTATCCAATGCCTTGGTTAGCGGATCCGCTATGTTATCCTTTGACTTCACGTAGTCAACAGTGATAACACCCGTTGTGAGAAGTTGTTTAATGGTATTATGTCTACGACGGACGTGTCTAGACTTACCATTATAGAGATTGCTCTGTGCCCTTCCAATTGCCGCTTGACAATCGCAATGTATGCATATTGGAGGGACAGGCTTCTCCCAACTTGGAATATCCTCGAGAAAATGGCGTAGCCATTCAGCCTCTTCAGTGCACTTATCCAAGGCTATTAGCTCAGATTCCATCGTGGATCTAGCTATTAACGTTTGTTTCGAGGATTTCCACGACACGGCTGCACCTCCCAAAGTGAAAACGTATCCACTTGTGGACTTTGAGTCCTTAATGTCAGATATCCAACTAGCGTCGCTATACCCTTCAAGTACAGCTGGATATCTTCCATAGTGCAGTCCAAGATTTTGGGTTTTTCGTAAATACCTCAAAACTCTTACTATTGCCTTCCAGTGTTCATCACCGGGGTTGCTAGTATATCTACTAAGCTTACTAACCACAAAGGCGATATCAGGCCTGGTACAACTCATTAGATACATTAAACTGCCAATAATCCTAGCGTATTCTACTTGAGAAATACACTCTCCACGATTTTTGGTCAGATGTACGTTTTTATCTAATGGCGTCCTTGCCTCTTGATAATCATCCTTATTAAATTTATTAAGGATTTTATCAACGTAATGAGATTGGCTTAGCGTCAGACCGTCAGGTCCTCTAATTATTTTAATCCCAAGGATTAAATCGGCCAACCCCATATCCTTCATGTCAAATTTAGAATTTAACATGCTTTTGGTAGAATTAATCATTAGATTATTGCTACCCACGATGAGTATATCATCCACGTATAAACATAAAATGACATAACCGTCTACCGTGCTCTTCACATAGACGCATTTGTCACTTTCGTTTATTTTAAATCCATTAATTAACATTGCATGATCGAACTTTTCGTGCCACTGTTTAGGGGCTTGTTTCAATCCGTACAATGATTTAATTAATTTACAAACCTTCTTTTCTTGGCTTGGAACACGAAAGCCCTCGGGTTGTTCCATATAGATTTCTTCGTCTATATCGCCGTTTAGAAAAGCGATTTTTACGTCCATTTGATGAACTTCCAAATTCCGCAAAGCGGCAATTGCTAGTATCATCCTAATGGAATTTATTCTCGTCACAGGAGAATACGTGTCAAAGTAATCATGGCCTTCACGTTGCTTGTATCCCTTGATTACAAGTCTGGCCTTATACTTATCAATGGAACCGTCCGGTTTCATTTTACGTTTAAAAATCCACTTGGATCCCAAAGGTTTACATCCCGGAGGGAGATCAACCAATTCCCATGTGTGATTTTTTAGGATAGAATCCACCTCACTTTTGATGGCTTCTTTCCACATAGGTCCTTCGGTAGACGTTACGGCTTCCGTATAAGTCCGTGGCTCATTTTCTACCAAACATGTTAGAAAATCCGGTTCATTTTCTACCATACAAGTTAGAATATTCGAATCGAATTCTGTCAAGTATGTGAGAAAATCCGGTCCGAAGGATTTTTCCACTCTAGCACGTTTGCTACGTCGGGGTTCGGCTTCTTCACCGGATCCCTCGCTAGTATTTTCCATAGCTACGTCAAATGTTCGTTTTGACGTGCTAGGTCCATCGTTGGACTTGCATGGAAATACGTCTTCAAAGAATGATGCATTCCTTGACTCAATTATTGTGTTTTTATGTACATCCGGATTATTCGAATCGTACACTAAAAACCGATAAGCACTACTATTTTGTGCATATCCAATAAAAATACAATCCACCGTTTTTGGACCTATTTTTATCTTCTTAGGTGTTGGTACAAGCACCTTAGCAAGACACCCCCACACTTTTAAATATTGATAGGAAGGTCGTCTGCCTTTCCACAACTCGTACGGAGTTTTATCATATTTTTTCCGGGGAACCTTATTTAAAAGGTAATTGCTTGTTAAGATCGCTTCGCCCCACATATTTTGTGGCAGGCCCGAACTTACTAGCATCGCATTCATCATATCTTTCAATGTGCGATTCTTTCGTTCGGCAACACCGTTTGATTGAGGTGAATAGGGTGCGGTACGTTCATGTACTATACCCACACTAGCGCAAAAGTCACCAATTGGTGCTTCATACTCACCACCTCGATCACTTCTAACCGTTTTAATCCGTCGATTAAGTTGGTTTTCCACTTCATTCTTATAAAGAATGAATTTATCGATTGCTTCGTGTTTATTTTTCAACAAATAAACATAGCTATAGCGAGTGCTATCATCGATAAAAGTAATAAAATATTTATTACCACCACGTGTTTGTATTGATTTAAAATCACAAACGTCACTATGAATTAATTCTAGTGGTTCCGTTTTTCTTTCAACCGATTTGAAAGACGTTTTCGTTAGTTTTGCCTCAACACAAATATCACATTTGTGCTTCACATCAATTGTGAATTTAGGAATGTGTTCCATGTTAATTAATCTACGTATAGAATTAAAATTAACATGTCCTAGTCTACCATGCCACACATTGGAAGACTCAAGCAAGTAAGCAGAAGAGATTTTATTATTATTATCAATAATAGTCATTACATTGAGCTTAAACAGCCCATCAACTGCATACCCCTTGCCCACATACATTCCCGATTTAGACAAAACTAGTTTGTCCGACTCAAAGACCATGCGGAAGCCATGCTTGTTCAACAATGAGCCCGAGATCAGGTTTTTGCGTATCTCCGGGACGTACAACACATTGTTGAGAGTCAGCTCCTTGCCCGAAGTCATCTTCAGGACCACCTTGCCCACGCCTTCCACCTCGGAATGAGCAGAATTTCCCATCCACACCTTCTCACCGTTTGATGGCTCAAAGGTTGCGAATAGCTCCCGGTTAGAGCAAATGTGCCGGGTTGCACCGGTGTCCACAAACCACTCTTTGGAATTGGATCCAATGAGGTTGACTTCCGTAACCACAGCCGCTAGGATGATGTCTTCATCCTTTTGCCCACCTTGCACCAAGTTGACTTGAGAATC